AGGCTCAGCTCTTTTGGAACTACATATCACTGTATTTTCATTTACTGATTTTAGAGGGAGAGAGGGAGGGAGGGAAGAACAGAGAGGGACATCGGTTTCTTGTTCCACTTATTTATGCATTCATTGGTTGCTTGTGGAGATTGAACCTGTTACCTTGGTGCCTGGGGATGATGGTCTAACCAACAGGGAGGTTGGTAGGGCAATTCTTGAAGGCAGCAACAGGTATAGAACCACTTCCTAAATAAGACACAGTGATGCAGTGACTGAGGCGCGTGCGTGCGTGCATGTGTGTAGGAGGGCGAGTGGTCTGGGCAGTTTCTAATTTAGGACAGAGAGTTGCTGGCACCTCTGTACCCCCTTATGATACCAATACTCACTGGCCTCTGTGTCTCAGGGACATCCTGAGTGCTGCTCGTTTGGGCAGGGAGAAATATTGCCATGTCACAGCCTTCTTGCCTTTCCAAAAAGCGGGGCTGGCACTTAGCACTTGCTCGCTTGCCAAACGACAGCTGTTTGCCCCGAGGCAGGCGTTGCTTTCATGGGACAAGGATGCCAGGGAAGGAGGACGGCCTCCTGGCTGCCGCCTTCCCAGGGGGGGCTGCGGAGGGGTCGCAGGCAGAGTGCCAGCTATTGTTGTTTACATTCTCATTTCAAGGAATTTGTGGCACTGGTTCAGTCTAAACGCAGGGTCTCTGCCCGCTGCCTTTTCTCCTTGCCCTGACCACGCTCGCCATAGTAGCTGCTGTGTGCGCAGCCCCCCCTCCCCCTTCTATTTTATTGTCATCTGAAACATAGAAAAGGAAGGCCAGGCAATACTTCCTGTATTCCTGAAAGAAGCTTAGGAAAAAAAAATACCTTCAAGACATTGGATTGACATAAAACCAAAGCATCTCAAAGCTTGTTTTCTTCCCTCTCCCCCCTGGTTTCTCTGAGGAAAGCAAACAGGAAAAATCTCACAGGGGTGATTTGTTCTCTTCTCTGTCTCCAGCCCCCTCCTCCCCGCTTCCCCCGGCCCCCCATCAGGAAGTGAGCCTTTCCCTCCACACCAGATCCCGAAAATGCTCAGGAAGGCGGTCCTTGCAAGGTCCCAGGGCCACCCTCCCCAAGGCCAGGGAGCCAGGGAACTCGGTGCTGTCATCTAGTGGCGCATCTCTGACACGGCAAGCTGCCTGCCAGATCCTGTTTGAACTTGGCTGTGGCGGGAGCTGTGGTTTGGCGCGCATCCTTAAGGAGCTTTGTTGCCAGCCACGGAGGTTTTTTTTTTTTTTTTCATTTTCACTCCCGATGCCCCTGTTCGTTTTGTTTGTTGGCACTTAATTTCCTGTCTCCCCAGAGGCTGCCTTTGGGGTTTAGGTATCTTTGGTCTTTGAGAAAGGAGACAATATTGCAAACGGATGCCTTTGACAAGGCTGGGCAGCCCCGGACAGCGATGGGCACCAGGACCCAGAGGCCGGGAGGGAAACACGTGAGGTTTATTACTCTTATTCACGGCGAGGTGGGCATTTTAGAGTGTGGTGGCATTTGCCTCCAGTACCTCTTTGCCACCCTTTCTGTTGCTTGGGTTTGGGGAGCCTCGAAGCCAAGCTGGGATCTCAAGGGAAGTTTGTTCGAGGATGCCAGTCTGGTTTGCAGAGGGGTGGTTTGCCCAGAGACTTCTCCGTATCCAAAGTGGCACAGCCCCTGGTTGCCAGGAGGCAGCTGTGTTTGCAGAGCTCCTGTGGCTGGTGATGCTGCAGCTCCTGGGAGTTTCTCTCCCCCTTAGCTCGGGGCGCACCTGTGGGACTGCCGGGCCGGTGCTGTCTCCTCTGGAGCCTCGGGGCCGGCACTGTTTTGCTTTGCTGTGTCTCCTGACCGCCTGGGAAGCAGCAATGGGTAACCTTTCAGGGCATGCCTTCAGAGTCAGACACAGGTCTGTGGGTGTGACCCTGGGTGAGCTGAACCTGAGCTCTTCACCTGTAAAATGGGGACCATGAGGACCTTTTGGTGACGTAAGGTATATAAAATTTTCAGCACAGAGCCTGGTCCATAAAGGTGTATGGTCAGTGTGAGCCGGTATCAGGGAACCGAATGAGTCGTGACCTTGAACCAGGGCAGAGGACACCTGGTCACGTGGGGGGTGAGGCAGCCGGTGGAAGAGGACTTTGAGGCCTGGCTTTGTGGGTGTGGCTCCTCACGGGAGGCACTGGCGGAAGGCCAGTGGTTTTGTCTTTTGGCAAATCAGGAAAAGTGAAGCGAGGTCCTGATTCACCTGTGCTCCAGTGTGCTCTGTCGCTGCTGCACCCCCTTCGGGGGTGGGGGCAGCAGCCTCTCCTCAGGGGCGCTGTGCAGCTTTTGCTCCTTTCTCGGAGGGCCTGGGACTCTGAGCAGGTGCCTCATGTCTGTCATCCCTAAAGGATGCTGAGGGATGGCAGCTCCGGACCCACGTGACCTTTGGTAGAATGCAGAACAGCTCCAAGGGTAGTAGAAGGAAGGAAGGAAGAACTCCTACTCACCTACAGATAAGGCTTAGGTCTGTTCCCTGTGTGTGTGGACAAAAACATTCCAGATGTGACTCCCCAAGCCATCTGGCTGGAATAACGTTTGTGCGGGGCTGCAATTACAAGCTATTTATTCTGAAGTGTGGGATCCTGTTATGGATCTTGACTGGCTCCCAGGTTTCTAACGTAGCATTGAGCATGTGTTCTCTGTATCAAACCCCGCCTGGAGACTCTGCACCCGCTCCCACGCCCTCGGAGCTTGAGTTTCTGGGTCTGTGTCTCCCCTTCTGAGAAGAGATGCCCTGGGGGTGGTCCTTCCCTAAGGCGGAGCCAGCTTGTGTGTGTGTGTGTGTGTGTGTGTGTGTGTGTGTGTGTGTGTGTGTGTGACAGGCTCTGCTTGGGAAGGGGATCAAGTCCACAGCCAGGGCGTGTGCCCTGACCTGGAATCGAACCATTAACCTTCTAGTTCATAGATTGATGCTCAACTACTGAGTCATGCCGGCCAGGACGATTACATTCTTAAACTATGCTTTTTTAAAGGACATTGTGGCCGTAACTATGTTATTACATTTGTAATGTAAAGAGAATTCTGCAGTGAACTGAAGGGCTGTGGCTCAGTGTCTCCATGCCACCATAGGCATGCTCTGTAGCCCCGGCTGCCCCTTGGGATGACCTGGGAGCTAGGAGACCCGTCTAGGCCTGGTCTGCAGAGACTGCAGTGGGAGGCAGAGCCGGGCGTGTTAGGAGCTGCCGGGTTCTGACTTGGAGCCTTGTGTGGGGACCACTGCCTCACGGGCTTTAAGGAATTACTGAGGGCCCTGACCACATAACAGACACCTGGGGGCGGGGTGTGTGTGTGTGTGTGTGGAAACTGGATTATTCAGGTCAACCACCAAAATCATACACCGACAGCTAATAAATAAAACCCCAAAGGTCTGCACGCCAGCCCACAGGTGGGTGCGGGTGGTGAGGACAGACGCCCTCCTTGGGCCAGGCAGGCCCTGAGATGGCCTCGCCAGCGTGTTCACCGCGTTGGCCTCAGGGTGCTGACCGGCGGTGCTGATGAGATGCTCGGTGTGTCCAGCGGAAGAGGCGGAGCAGCATTCTTCCCTGGGGCTCCTGGTTCCCAGCGTCAGTGGCGGTGCAGAGTGAAGCAGCTGTTGGGATGACGGGATCCAGGGCTCCATGCACCTCACTCTGGGGGGAGTTGAGTTCTGGGGGGATTGGGGTTCTGGGAGGAGTGGGATTCTGGGGGGAGTGGGGTTCTGAAGGAGTGGGGTCCTGGGGGGAGTAGGGTTCTAAGGGAGTGGAGTTCTGGGGGGAGTAGGGTTCTAGGGGAGTGGGGTTCTGGGAGGAGTAGGGTTCTAGGGGAGTGGGATTCTGGGGGGGTGGGGTTCTGAAGAAGTGGGATTCTGGAGGGAGTAGGGTTCTAGGGGAGTGGGCTTCTGGGGGGAATGGAGTACTGAAGGAGTGGGGTTCTGGGGGAAGGGAGATATCAGGGGAGGGGAATTCTGGGGGGAGGGCAGCGGGGGGAGGGCAGTCCTGGGGGGAGGGCAGTTCTGGGGGGAGGAGAATTCTGGGTGGAGGGGAGTTCTGGAGGGAGGGATGTTCTGGAAGGAGTGAGGTTCTGGGAAGAGTGGGTTCTGATCACTCAGCCAGGGCTGACAACCTGATTCATTACAGATTAGACCCTGGGGGCACCTTGCGGGCTGGTGACCGCCTGAGGATATGAGCAGGCGTGAAAGCACAGCCCTAGCGCTCAGCAGGCACCGTTACCAAAGCCCAGCTCCGCCGAGGTTCTGGGCCGGTCCTCTGGCTCCTGTGCATCCAGTCCCCCCACAGGGGGGCATCCCCTCCACGGGGTCTCCTCCGAGTCCCTGTATCCGCTGACCTCTTAGTAGAACCTGGATGCCAGTGCCGCCCTCCTTTCCTGAGCCTCCGCGCTAATGGGACGCAGCTGTCCCGGTAAACACTGAGCGCTGTGTCCTGCCTGGCCGGGGAGTGTTCCCTTCCCTCTGCCCCAGCCCAGTCCCCCTCAGCCTTCCTTGTCAGTATTTGCGTTGGAACTGCAGGCGCTGCACTTTAGTGCACTCGACTATGAAGGGTTGTTGGAGGGCCTGTGCAAATATTTTTGTTCTCACGATGCAGTCCTGGCCCAGGTAGCCCAAGGGGCAGGGTATGATTTACGCAAATATTATGGTTTCTGTGGGGCATGCTGAGAGGGGCGCTGAGCATGGGGAGAGGACGCCTCTCCCCGCTCAGTGTGGGTGTCCAGGTGAAGCTGGCTTGTAAGGAAGGGCTTGCCCATGCCCTGGCACCTGCCCTTGACCTAAAAGAGCGTGCATGCCCGGATGAGGACTTCTGCTCCAGAGAGTGCACAGACCTGCTGCCCTCGCAGAGCTTTCCTGCCCAGAGGCAGGTGACGGGGGGTGAGGGGGGAAGGTTGGGGGAACTCCGCCCTGGGCTGGGATTCAGGGCTTCTGTTTGAAGCTGATGTCAAATGTCTCTTGTCTCTTTGCCCAGAACAAGGAAGTGACCTGCAAGCGGGAGAAGTGCCCGGTGCTGTCCAGGGACTGCGCCCTCGCCGTCAAGCAGAGGGGAGCCTGCTGCGAGCGCTGCAAAGGTGACGGCTCCCGGCCGGCTTCTCGGGCCTCCTCCGCAGACATCTTATTTCTCTTTCTCCCTCCTCTTCGCTTTGCCCTGGGCTGGGTGTGCATGGGTGTTGGGAGGGAAGCTGGTGTGTGCGTGTGCATGCATGCATGTGTGTACGCACATGTTTGTGTGCATGCATGTGTGTGCATGCATATGTAGGTGTGCATGATTTTGTATGTGGTGTGTGTGTGTGTGTGTGTGTGTGTTGGGGAGCTGTTGGTGGTGGTAAGGGGGCTCTCTGGTGGAGGTCTGAAAGTGTGGTGAGCATCTATCTGCCTGTTGGGTTTGTTTCTGGGGCAAGTTGTTGCAATGTCACAGAGATGTCCATGTAAGGTCTGTGCACGCTGGTACACACGCACACGGGCATCTTCATCGGTAAAGCAGTTTGAGCTCAGTTTTTCCCAGACTCCTCCTGCCCACCTGAGCCCGAGGCCTGAGGCCCACATGTTATCACTGTGGTCCCTACAGCACGCGTGCTTTCCTTCCCGGTGAAACGTGAGCTCTTTGTCTCTGTCTCTGATGCATTCCCTCGGCGCCCGTGCCCGACCTCTTTCCGGGGCCTGCGGTGCACGTGTCCCCCGGAACAGGCTGCTGGCTTTCATGTCTGCCTTTGCTTATTTGTTTATCATCCTCTTTAGTGTTCTGATTACCGAGCATCCTCCACATCCGAAGCATGTGAAGGCTCTGAGGCGATGCTGGTGTGTGTGTTTGTTTTGATATTTTCAATATGGGAGAAGCATGGGGAGAAGAAGGCCTAGAAAGCATGTTGTTAGCTCATTCATTCTACTAAGAGATTTGGACCATTGAAAATCCCCATGTTATGCTCTGTTTGTGTTCAGATTCACATTTTATCCTATGTGTACTACCATATATTTGGGCCACTTCTGTAGTGAGTGTGTCTAGTTTATTTATAACTGTTGGATCCTCATTTCATCCCTTAAACCAATGGCTCAGGAGCCACATGTGGCTTGTTAGCCCCTTGAGTATGGCTCTTCCACAAAACACCACGTGCGGGCGTGGGTGTAGAGTGCTATTGAAACTTCGTGGCCCGTGCTCAGAAGTCAGTTTTCGGCCTGGGCGAGTCTATTTTGAAGAAGTAGCGTGAGAGCACTCAAGGGGCCAAAGAGCCGCATGTGGCTCCTGAGCCGCCGTTTGCTGACCACTGCCTTTAACTATTACAGAAGTTTCTATGCATTGCATCCTGGTAGCCATGACCATGGCCATTCTTGATGGGTTTTTCCTGCTCACGGCCAGTCTTTGATTGAGGCCAGCCGCCGATCAGGAACATGTTTCCTGGGTGAGGACGTTGTTCCCTGGGAAAGCCCAGGCCCTGTGGATGGTGAAGTGTGACTCACCTGGTTCCTTTTAAGACCTTTACCCCCACCCACCAGTTATCTTCATAGTAGTTCAGAGGGACTTGCTTTCCCAAGACGCTGGGGACTGGGTTCATTGGTTTATGCTCATCACTTAGCCCACACGACAGCTCATTTTCCAGATGAGGAAAGTGGGGGCCAAATAAGTTAAATCGTGAACCCCAATATCAAGCAAAAGGGTGTCTATGCCTTTAAGGAGATTGTTGTACTGGAGGGGTCAAAGAAATGCCATCCGTGGGGATGTTCCCCAGGGAAGCAGCACGAGGGGAGGCAGACAGCTGGAGGGCCAGGGGCTGGGAGTGTGTGGGGCAGGTTTTCCCGAAGGGGCAACCCACTGTCATGAACAAGAAGGAGTTAATCACATCCAAAGAGGGCTGCTCAGGAGAAGGCTCCCAGGGAAACGGGGGGCACACAAAGGCATGAAATAGTTCTTAGGCACCACCTGCCACTTAGCATCACCCAGGGAACGTGTTAAAGCCCCAGCTCCTGGGCTTCCCTCCAGGTCTGATGAATTCACACAAATCGGGAATAAGTTTTTGTTTGTATGTTGCTGATTGTTTGGGGGAGGGTGAAAGGGGCAGGCAAAAATGGAACAGAATTCTATCATGATTTCTATTTCTTTTCCTCTGAAAGAGTTGTTGCTATTGAAAAGGCAATTCAGGTTGAAAACAGAAGTATGAAAACTCAGGTTTCCAAGAGGATTCTTAACCGAGTGTGTGTGCGTGTGTGTGTGTGTGTGTGTGACACATTTATGTTCACATTTGTGTTCCTTTTGCTTCTGATTTACTCATGTGATTTGTTCATTCGTTCATTCATTCATTCATTTTATTCTATAAGTACTTACTAACCTACATGCCGGGTATTTATGGCATGGCACTGCTTTACCAATTGTTCTTAACTTTTAGGAAGCCAGATAGTCTTTTTTTTTTAAGTAAGTAAATTATCAAGCCAGTGTTTCAGTGTACTTTTCAGATCATTTTAATGTTAGGAATGGCTATACATTCTTACCCAATTATCCAACAGCACTGCAAAAGAGTCATCTAATTAGAAAACACGCAGTACTGCTTGATGAAAACAAATGAGATCATTGAGAGTCCAACAGGCATTTTTGGCCTATTTTCTGTATTTCCTTGGACCAAGAATCATCCTTTCATTTGGGGTTCTTTCATAAACAATAATGTATTTGTTATCTGAATATATGTTTGTTATTAGTGGATCATAAACAAATAAGGTGTGTTGCAAATATTTATAGGTCAAATTCCAGCTCCTTCACGTGGAGCATCACATATTAACTGTCTGCAATACTTTGACAAAAGACTTAAGAAGCAAGTCTTTCATTTGTCAGTGGGAGTTTGTTTTCCACAGTCTCCTCTGGTCTTTGATTTCTGTGTGCTGCAGCTTGTGTTTCTGAATGGTGATCCCATGGGCTGTTTTTTTTTTTTAATAGTTTAACTTTTATATTTGATTTAAAAAATATCCTATAATGTCTCAGAAAATGAAAGGAAAGAGGTAAAACATAAATATTTGCACACCGATTTCCAGAATTAGGACAGCCGTCCTCAGTTCTGATAAATAACATTTAGAGAGAAAAACATGCATGGAAAATGTTAAGGGGATTGGGCTCATTTATGTAGACCAAGGACTGACCTGTGGAACTGTGAATAATCATTAAAGATTGAGCCTTATTAATTATCACTCGCTTTTCATACAGTCCAACGCCCTGGCTTCTTCTCAATGCTGCCTTGAGAATGACCTGGAACATGACCGTGTCTTTTAGGATATTCCTCTGTGGCTGATCCAGCCACTTACCATATACAGAAATGAGCATTAAAAAACAAAACAAAACTCACACAACTAAAAAAAAATAACCACACTCTCTTTGTTGACAGAGTAAATTGACTTATTGTTTAAACTGTGGAAGATGGAAAGGCTGAGCAAGCCATGCATGCGTCCATCTGTTTGTTTGTAACCAAACTTCTTTTGGCAATTGCATCCGCGCCTTGCCCAAACAAAAGAGTGTCTCTTCCCTCCACTTCTGTTTTCCTTCCCCCTCATCACAGCCACATTCTTAGCAGTATTGGTGGTGTTTCTGATGCCATTCGCCCCAGGTTCCACATCCCAAACAAAGAGCCACCTGGACTTGCTTAAGGTTCATGGTGTGAGCCATCTTCACTCTACTGTGAATGAGACTTAGAGGATATTTTGATACACACAAAGCCCGTCTGTAGATATTCCTAGATACTGCTGTCTTCAGCCCTGTGGTGGTGATGGTTATCATTCTGCCTTCACAGATGGGAGAACAGATGTTTAGGGGGGTGATCCTGTTTTTCACGATCACACAGTTGTGAGAAGTTGCAGGGCCCTGGGTACAGGAGGCTCCTTCTTGCTGGTATCACACTGCCTGTGAGATAAGGAGGGAGGAGAGACCAGGGAGTGAGGAGGGCTCTGGAGATAAAGGAGAGAGAGAGGGAGACAGATCTGAGGTCAGTCTGCCACAGCCTCCTGGGTGGACGCCTTTCACAGGAAGGATGCAGATGGAAGCTTTGTGCGGAGGCAGTTGAAAATAACATGTGGCTTAGGAGGCGGTGGCTTTTCTTACTCACTGACATTCTTTTGGGAAACCCTAACTTACTTTTTTTCTCTTCAGTATCCAAGACGAGCTTGACTCTTCTGTGAAGATGCGTGTGCCTGATTTCCTAAAATAGTTTTAACAGGCAATTCAAAGTATCCAGAGGCACTGATAGTCAAATAAGGCTTCCTCCCTCTCCTGACCCCAGCCTTCGGATCCCCTCTCCTGGGGACAGCCACTTAGGTTCCTGGGGACCCTCCAGAGCCCGGCTCTGCATGCGGTGAGCGTAGTTTTCCATTTCCAGCCGCACAGAAGTCTCCACCAGTTTCCTCCCAGCTGGGTTGTTGTTGTTAATCCTTACCCGAGGACATTTTCCCATTGATTTTTTAGGGAGAAAGGAAGGGAGGGGGAGAAACATACACACAGAGAGATATATATCAATTGGTTGCTTCCCACACGCTCTAGACCAGGGCAGGGGATGGAGCCTGCAACTGAGGTACGAGCCTGTGACTGGAATCAAACTCTTGATCCTACAGTCTGCAGGCAGATTCTCTAGCCACTGCTTCCAGCTGTTTCAATGCAGAGGCTGACTAGCACTTAAAACATCTTGGGACAGTGTGTTGCTCTGAAGAACATTCCCACCATGGAACTGCCGAGGTCTACTGATATTTTCCTCGATTTAGAGCTTAGGAGACTGATTTTAAAAAATATATATATATATCTTTATTGACTTTAGAGAGGAAGGGAGAGAAATAGGAACATCAGCGATGAGAGAAAATCATTGATTGGTTGTCTCCTGCATGTCCCCTACTAAGGATCAAGTCGCAACCTAGGCATGTGCCCTTGACCAGAATCGAACCTGGGACGCTTCTGCAGGCTGACACTCTATCCACTGAGCCAAACCAGCTAGGGCTGATGTGTTTCTTGATGAAAATTGTTAGATGATGGCATGCCTGTAAGTATATTTAACCGATAATTATTTGAACCTTTAACAGAAATTGATGCCAATTTATATTTAATATGTTTCCT